CTGTTCATCATTCCAGAACAAAGCACATTGATATACGTTATCATTTTGTCAGAGAAGTTGTTAAGGGCAAGTTTTGTTAAAATATAAATGTACAACTGAAATGATAGCAGATATTTTGACCAAAAACCTTCCAAAAACGAAACACGAAGAGTTTACAAAAATGTTTAATTTGTTTTGAGAATAGTTTTTTGTAAACAAGCTTGCATTGAGGAAGGGTGTAGAAAATAGAGTACCCTGAATATTTCTCTCTAATACAATGCACGCTTGTATAGGTATAGGAAAGAGATCTCGAAGTATCTATATTTGTCTCGCTCTAAGGAATAGAGAATACGAAAATATGTATACCTATTTTTTGTTTCTTCTTCAACTTCAAATTCAGTCGCAAATAAAATTCCGCAGCATACACACGGTGTTCTGAGTTCTCGCCTTTAATTCTGCCGCTCAATACGTTTCAGTGTCCGTTAGCAATACGTTTTCGGCATATTCACGAGGAACGCCACAGTTTTGCTTTTCGTTTTTGAGCATTCCCCGAACCTAATGCGGAAACTCCGATTCTTTGTTCGCATTTAATATTTTTAGCGGACATTTCTCGGATCCATCCGCACTGAGACCGCTCTTTGTCTGCTGGGTTATGACATCGGAATTTGCGTTTGAATAAAATGCATTTGCATAAAATATGCAAAATATTTGAAAATATAAAGAATATGCATAATATAAGCAAATATGTAAAATAAACACATATCAAAAATTTAATAAAAGAGATTCTTAGGGTGGTAAAACCGTTAAAATATCTTGATCCTATAAAAAAAATGCAAATATGCAAATTGCAAGTTAAATAGTTATTGTTCACGCCAGAAGGGCGTGAAGTAATGAGCGGCAGTGTAAGCGGCGAGCGCTTGCGCTCAAGCTTGTGCTCCCGCGCACTGTTTCCTTCGCTCTGCCCGTCTCCCTCTCTTTCGCTATTCTCCAGCCCTGCAGCCCGTTTGCCATGTAGTTAAGTTAGTATTAATCAAGAACTGAAGTCTATAATGTGTGATATAATTGTGAAGCTACCCCCTCTCGCCTACTAATTTGGAATATTGTGGGACTCAGCAGCCAGCCCAACTCCAGTCCATCCCATCTATTCCGACGACCACGCCATCCTAGAAGGACGACGACTTTTTTTGGCCATTCCGCCCACTCCATTTCATGGTCCTTCGAGCCTGCGAGCGAAATTTTAATTTCCAGCGCCCCATTGCGGATACCAAGATAAGTACGAAGTCCAAAGTCCGTGATCGCCATATTCCTTTTTCAAGGCGTTATATTTTTTTCTTCGATCCGAAAAAATTGATAAGTGACAGTGAAAAGTGAAAAAATATATATACATATGTGCACATAGTGATAAACGCCCAGTCACAGTAAATTTTCTTCCGTTTTTAAAGTGCAAAAGTACTTTGCCAATATTGGCCCCCTACATAGTCGTGCTGTGATCCGCTGGTGTCCAAGTGCATATACATATATATACATAAATATATATTTTTTTTTTTTACAAATTCACGTTCCGTCACTCAGTTCCAAAATACGTCCGTCACTAACTGCAATTCCAAATAGTATTAATAATACAATTTTAAAGAAAGCCTTGACACACATACATACCTTAACATACACCCAAATACAAATAAAAAAAAAAAATCCGCACCCAAATATAAAAAACATCTGAATCCAAAAATATATATTTTGTTAAATAAAAAATAAAATAAATAAAATTACACCCAAAAACTTCCACACGACAATTTCCTCACAGTGTTTTTATTTAAAAATATTCAATATTAACTAAAGAAATTCAAAGAAAAAAAAATATATATATATAATAAAAAGCGTGCACAAACACCTGCACCTATACGTTTTCGAAAAGGCAAAGTGCCGACGGAAAAACATCGTCCACCCACGAGAAAAAATAAAATTAATTCCTGGAACAAAATTTTTTAAGGAAACCGAAATTTTTTTAATTTTTTAAACAACCAATACCGCCACTCTTTTTAGCTATTTTTTCGACACCTAGCTTTTTGGTCAAGCCAAGTTTTTAGCTATTTTCCTCATTTTAGCTATATTTTTGTTGGCGTTGTTAGTTTTCGTGCGGTTCCTGGAAATAAAGGATAGCAATCTCCACTGGCCTCCTTTAGCTATTTTTTAGCCATTTTTTATACGCCAGCTAGTTTTGGTCGAGCCGATATTTTAGCTAGTTTCGATTTTTTAGCTAGTTTTTTTTGTGGGCGTTATTTTTTCGTGCGGTTCCTGTATATCAATCTCCATTGGCCACCTTTAGCTATTTTTGTTTTATTCGCCGCTAGTTTTTGGTCAAGCCGATATTTTAGCTAGTTTCGATTTTTTTGCTAGGTTTTGGTGGGCGTTATTTTTTCGTGCGGTTCCTGCATATCAATCTCCATTGGCCTCCTTTAGCTATTTTTTCAGCTATTTTGTGAATTTCTTTCCACGTAGTTCTTTACGATCCTTTTGTGAGTTCCGAAAAAACAAAAGAAAAATCCATATAATTCCCAAAAGTTATTGACATATTCCGCCAAATTTATAAGCTTTTTCCAGCTAGTTTTGGCGGGTGGTTTTTTTTCTCGCAAAGTTCTACGATTGCTGTTGACGTATTCCGGAACTTAAGGTCGAAGAAGCCAATTTTGAGTAAGTGGCTAAGAATTTGCAACAATTTCCGAGGCTAGTTTGTAGCTAGATCTAGCTACTTTTTTCGCTATATTCTATTATCCGTACGCGTTTCGTAGATCCGTCACTGACAGCTCAGTTCCCTCGTGCTAGCGAGTGATCATAGCTAGATTTGGTTATTTTCTTTTCCTGCCGTTTTTTTTTTTATTCTGCGAGCTTCGCAGGGTTTTCCACAGCGTTTAAGGATTAAAGTTCCTTTTCCGTGCACTCGCTTTTCTTTTTGCGGGGGGCAGGCCTTCTCTTTTCATAGAGCATAGCTGAGTATGCCCGTAGAGGGAGATAAAAAGGGAATCTTTTCCCCGGCTAAGTCGAACCCATCCTCTCCGCGGGCCATTCGAGTCCAGTCAGCACCCAGGTCCTCTACTCCGGGGATCAGAAGTTCGGCTTCCACTTCCAAAGGGGCAGATCGTCGATCGACAAGTCCGTCAAACGCTCCACGAATAGTCATCTCTCGGCCGGTGGCAAAAGCTAGCGACTCTTCGCTTGCCATAAAGTCAGAGTCTCCCTCCGTTTCAAAGCCGGAATTCCTGAGGGTGACACGCTCTAGCAGCCACAAAATGGCATCCACTGAACAACCAACGGACGAACAGCCAACGGCCGAACCGCCAACGGCCGCAACCGTGTCGTTGCCCAAATTCATAGCCGCCAGCGATCGTGTGAGCATTTTTGAAGCAAAGATCAATACTCCGGGTCAAGCTTCCCCGTCCCTACATCTGACACAAGTCCGCCTGCAACAAGTTCTAGCCTTATGGGACAAGGTAGAGACGGAGTACGACACATGCTCCGATCTAATTGCTCAAGAAGGATGCCTCGAAATGGTGCCCGTGCTGCAGAACAAATATGACTATTGCTATTCGGTGTATGAGTCATGTTCAGCAGAGATCAGTGCGACAATTGACAGTGCCACGCCTCAAGCCGTGCAACCACCCTCCCAGCCAATAATTTCCTCCGGTTGCCGCTTACCGCCCTGCGATACAGAAGTCTTCGACGGGGACTACCTTCGATGGCCCACTTTCCGGGACCTATTCACGGCAGTCTATGTCAACAACCCCAGGCTGACACCGGTCGAGAAGCTCTTCCATCTTTTCACGAAGACGAGCGGCGAGGCGAAAGCCATCGTCTCCAAATCCCCGCTCACAAATGACGGGTTCGCCTCTGCGTGGGAAGCGCTTCAAGACCGTTTCCAAAACAAACGACTTTTAGTCAACAGCCAACTCAAGCTTCTGTTCAACTTGAGTTCCATCTCCCAAGAATCTGGTCATGCGCTGAAAGAGTTGCAGTCCACGATTCAGGGGTGTTTGACAGCGCTAGCACATTGCCAAATATCCACGGACAACTGGGATTGTCTGCTGGTGTTCCTGTGCGCAAGCAAGCTGCCGAAAGTTACCCTTTCTCTATGGGAACAGTCCCTGACGTCGAAATCCGACATTCCGGCTTGGGAAGAGATGAACACCTTCCTAAGCGAAAGATATCGCACATTAGAGGCCATCGAGGACATGAAGCCGACTCAAGCAGTCCCGAAAAAGCTTCAGTCCTTCGAAACGAAGGACAGCACCAAACCAAAAGGGTGTGACTTAGGCTCCAAGGAGAATCATCCAGTACGCTTATGCCCGCGCTTTCTCCAAATGTCCGTCGACGCGCGTTCCGGCTACATAAAAAAGAAGCAGCTCTGTCTCAATTGCTTTGCGAGAGGCCATCAGCTACATGACTGCACGAGCACGCACAGCTGTTTCACTTGTAGGGGGAGGCATCATACGCTGCTACATCGCACTGCAACTCCTGCAAATTCGAGATCCACCACGCCCTCTGCTCAGCCATCCTCAGGACCCTCCAGCAGTAATGCATCGACGAGCAATCCAAATTACTTCGCCTCTGTCACTACAGCCGTTCTGCTGAGCACGGCAATTATCGATGTGTGCCATCTGGGCACGAACTACCGAGCACGAGCCTTAATCGACTCGGGATCCGAGGCGACTTTCATTTCCGAACGCCTCTTCAATTTGATCAAGCTGCCATTCCGCAGCATCCAAACTCAAGTCTCCGGGCTGAACCAATCCGTTGCGGCGAAGTCTACCAGACTCTGCCATTTTCAAGTTCGATCTCCTACTAAGCCGGGTCTCCAGTTAGACACCGCAGCCTACCTTCTTTCGGCATTGGCGGGCAAATTGCCCTCATAACCAATAGCTCGGGATTCTTTGAAAGACCTGCCCGCTCTCCAATGGGCAGACCCCAAATTTTACGAGAGTTCGCAAATTGATGTTCTGATCGGGGCCGACATTTTACCTTCGGTCATGCTAAGTGGCACGCGAGGAAACATTTGCGGCTCTCTACTAGGCCAAGAGACCATTTTCGGATGGGTGCTTACGGGGCCGATCTCCCAGGTGAACTCAAACAGAGTCGCATCCTTCACGACTCAAGTACACCAAGTAGGTGACGAGGCACTGGACACGCTTCTCAGCAAGTTCTGGGAGGTGGAAGATCTACCAGTCCAGATGGTAAAGGAGTCGGATTCCTATTGCGAGAGGAACTTTCTCCAAACGACGAAGAAAGACGCAAGCGGGAGGTACGTGGTGACGCTCCCGTCTAGGGTATTCGAGGTCCATCGCGTTAGCTCAGTTTCTCCGAAATGAAAATCGGTTAAAAAAAGACTTTCCCCTAAAAGAGCAATATGACAGCGTGATTCAGCAATATCTGGATCTGGGTCATATGAAAGAAGTTCCGTCGACTCACATTTCTCCTACCTACTATCTTCCACAACATGCGGTGATCAAGCCCGAAAGCACCACTACAAAGCTTCCCGTTGTATTTAACGCTTCAAGCCCTTCAGCAAATGGAACCAGTTTAAATGATATTCTTCATGCTGGTCCAGTCCTGCAATCCGATCTGACTATTCAGATCCTGAAGTGGCGATGCTTCCAATACGTCTTCAGTGCGGACATTACTAAAATGTACCGTCAGATTTGGGTCGATTCCAAGCACACACCCTTTCAAAGAATTCTGTTCCGAAATAAGGAAGGAGATATCCGAGACTTCGAGTTACAGACAGTTACTTTCTGGGTCAACTGCGCGCCCTTCCTGGCTATTCGAGTGCTGCAACAGCTAGCAAAGGATGTCCAAGGGCCATTTCCACAGGGCAACCGTATTATTCAGCATCACATGTATGTCGATGACGTGCTGGCCGGCGCAAATTCCGTAAAAGGCGCCCAAGATTCGGTCCAAGAATTGCGAGCAGCTCTGAGTTCTGCTGGGTTTCCATTAAGAAAATGGACTTCTAACCATAAGAGCATACTAAGCAACATTCCAGCTGAGAAAAATTTCCATAGCGAGTTCCTCGATATCGATGCCGAAAGCACGGCCAAGACGCTTGGTATTCGATGGAGGGCAAAATCCGACGAGTTCTATTTCGTCCCTCCAGAATTAATCGTGGAACCTTCCTACAGAAAGCGGGAAGTTTTATCCCAAATCGCTAAGTTGTTCGATCCTGCCGGATGGCTGGCTCCGTTCATCATCCGTTCCAAAATGTTTATGCAGGAGATTTGGCTGCAAGACTTAGGCTGGGATGACAAGCTTCCCACGCACATGAGTCAGAGATGGCAGTCGTTTCTCAAAGAATATTCCGACCTCAACAAGATCCGCGTTCCAAGGTGGGTTGGGTACCAGTCAGAGGTCATCGTAGAGCACCACGGCTTCTGTCACGCGTCGCAGAAAGCCTATGGAGCTGCTATCTACGTCCGCGTCGAGATGGGTCACCAGATCTTGACTCGTCTGCTGACAGCCAAGACACGAGTGGCTCCGGTGAAAACCGTGTCCCTCCCCCGACTAGAGCTCTGCGGAGCGGTGCTTTTAATCGAAATGGTGAGAGCAATCCTTCCGCATTTGCCTACCGCCAGTTCCGATCTCCGCTGCTGGACAGATTCCACGATCATCCTAGCCTGGTTACGTAAGCCTGCTTGCAACTGGACTACGTTTGTGGCCAACAGAGTTAGTTGCCAAGATCACTCAGGCAACACCAGTCGACTGTTTGGCACACGTTCCCTCCGAACAAAACTCCGCCGATTTAGCCAGTCGAGGCGTACCTCTGATCGATCTAGTGGATAGCAAACTTTGGTGGCAAGGACCAGAGTGGTTGCAAGGGCCTCGTGAGCTATGGCCTGCCCAAAATGCCATCGATCCGACCGAATTAGAACAGCGTGCAGTCAAGGTGCATTTCAGCAAGACCCCGTCCGAAGAATATCTTGAGCGTTTCTCCAAACTGGACAAAGCTCTGCGGGTCTTAACGTACGTTCTGCGATTCCTTAAACGCTGCCGCAAGAGCTCGATCTCGCCCACTCCACGACCAACAAGTGATGAAATCCGGGAGGCAGAAAGAGTTTTAATCTCCATTGCGCAGCGCAGAGCATATGGCCAAGAGCAGAAGCATCTGGCCGAGAAAAGGTCCCTTCCAGCGTCAAGTCCGATTGCGAACTTGTTTCCGTTTATCGACCAACACGGCCTCCTAAGAGCATGCGGTCGCCTTACTGCTGCCAAAGGGTTGCAGTATGACGAACGCCATCCAATAATACTTCCCTATGACTGCAGACTGTCTCGGCTTCTCATCCAATTTGCTCACCAGATTACTCTTCATGGCGGTAGTCAATTAATTGTACGCCTTATCCGATCGAAGTATTGGATTCCTAAAATCAAGAATCTGGTGGAGGCTGTGGTGAATCCGTGTAAGATTTGCACGATTTACAAGAAGCGACTTCAAACCCAGCTGATGGGCGATTTTCCGACAGACAGAGTTTCCTTCTCGAGGGCTTTCACGTACACGGGCGTTGATTATGCCGGCCCTTTCGAGATCAAAAACTATACTATAACAAAGTGTCATGTTTGTGTGTTTTTCTACGAAGGCTATCCATTTGGAACCCACTTCCGATCTGACAACCGAGAAGTTCCTAGCGGCCTTTGCTCGTTTCGTAGCGAGGCGCGGTTGTCCTCAGCGGGTCCATTCGGATAATGGCAAGACCTTTGTGGGGCAGCAACTCTGCTTTCTCGAGACTTCCTACAAGCCGTCAATGAGTCTGTGGCTGATGCATACAGCCATCAGGGGCTCGTATGGCGATTTATTCCACCAGGGGCTCCACATATGGGGGGTCTATGGGAAGAGGGCGTCAAGAGTTTTAAGACTCTGTTTTACAAAGCTTCTGCGACCCGCAAGTACACTTTCGAGGAACTTGCGACGCTCCTTGCAAAGGTTGAGGCTTGCCTCAACTCAATACCCCTCTCTCCGATGTCCGAAGATCCCTCAGACTTGCTGGCCCTCACACCGGGCCATTTTCTTGTTGGAGAACCGTTGCTCTCCATGGCGGAGCCCGAGATAAAGGGCGAAGCCAAATCGATTCTCAATCGATGGCAACATTTAAGGGCCCAACATCAGCAGTTTAGTGTTCGGTGGAAAGAGGAGTATCTAAAAGAACTCCACACACGCTACAAATGGCAATATCCGACCCGAAACCTCCAAATCGGCGACATGGTAGTCGTCAAGGAGGACAATCTGCCATCCGACGAATGGCGGCTCGGCAGAATTAGTTCTGTCTTCCCAGGAGCCGATGACCTTATCCGCATATTCATTCCTACCGCTGCCGAGTCTGCCGGGGAATCCATCCTCTTCGGAAGTGCAAGAGGTTCCGAAAGCTGAGTGCCGAGAAGTGCCTCCGAGCAGTACTTATTAATAAGTTATGCTCAAATTGCCTCGCCCACCAACATTCCGAGGGGACCTGCCACAGCGAAGGTGGCTGCAAGAAGTGCGGTTGGAACCATCACACCCTGCTACATATGCACGAGGAGCCGTCTCCACCACACCCGTCGCGCAATCCGCGCCAATCCGCCAGGTCGCATCCCCGCTGTTCCGCCGGGTCCGTCTCCCACTCATCGTCGCCCAACCGAGTCGCCATTGAGCGTCCACGTCCGGAGGTCTCCGCTCCGACCCCATCGGTGGCCGCGTTGGTTTGTCAAAAGACGGTCCACATCCTTCCAACTGCCATCGTCGTGGTGGACACGGGATCCTCCACGTTCGAGACCGCGGCGATGATGGACCCCTGTATGGCAGTGAGCAGTATCGACCGATCGCTGGCGGCCGCTTTCCGGCTGCCTTTCACCAGTCTGGGAGACGACGAGGTCTGTTCGGCGACTCTCCGATCCCGAACAGGCCACTTCAAGCTTGAGGTTGTCCTGAAGCTTGACCCGAGCCTCAAGATCTGGACTCCTATTCGGGCTCTGAGCGACGACACACGGGCTAAGTTCGGCGACATCCGTCTTGCGGATGAGCAATTTCACCGCCCGGCAACCATCTCCCTCGTATTGGGCTCAGACGTGTTTGCGAAGCTGATCCAACCGGGGTTCCTGAAACTCGAGGATGGTTTGCCTGTTGCTCAGAACACCGTGTTCGGATGGACCGTTTCCGGAGCCGTTCTGGAACACTGATGCTGATCCTGGTTCCTTTTGCTAGCGCAAGGGGGGGAGAATGTTCACGCCAGAAGGGCGTGAAGTTATGAGCGGCAGTGTAAGCGGCGAGCGCTTGCGCTCGCTCGCTATTCTCCAGCAGCGAACTCACCACTCCGCGGTCCCTCCAGCCCGTTTGCCATGTAGTTAAGTTAGTATTAATCAAGAACTGAAGTCAATAAAGTGTGATATAATTGTGAAGCTACCCCCTCTCGCCTACTAATTTGGAATATTGTGGGACTCAGCAGCCAGCCCAACTCCAGTCCATCCCATCTATTCCGACGACCACGCCATCCTAGAAGGACGACGACTTTTTTTTGACCATTTCGCCCACTCCATTTCAGTTATTGCAATTCAATTTTTATTTTTTAATTTTTTTCTAATTATTTAACCATAATGGCTTGATTCTTAATGATCCAATTGCAATCTGCAAGGGTATACAAACTTCGGCGAGCCGCAGTTAGTTTCCTTTCTTGTTCAGTGTTTAGCTGAGTGGAAAACCCACTTTGAAAAACTCCTTCTGGACGTGCGTAAATATCCTAGTTCGTGCTGTAGCTCCCACGCCGACAGGAACGGTGAAAGTTGATTCCTTTCGCGAAAAAGATGAACCAAGCGAAAGCAGAAGCTAAGTATCCCCAGTAAAGGAGACCATGAGGAGATTTTGTTGATCATACATAGATTAAAGTGGGGTTCGGCCTTTACCTCCAAGCATGCCTCTTCTTCTGTCGACAAAACATACTACCCCTTGATGGGAGGCCAAGTCGAACGAGAATGAAAAAGCCAAGCTGGTCCATTTCACCAGATCGGATGATCGACGGATCCTTTGGCAATAGGCCTCGGGACGCGCAGTCTGCCACTTCGCCAGTTCGAATATGTTGCCAGCAGCTACGTGGACAAACCTCCAAATTCTCAGCAGATTGCAAACATAGGTATTCCAAGTCCGTGGAGGAGATGATAGCCAATGCAGGACTATTTCGGAGTCTGACCAATAATTGATTCTGGAAATAGGAATAGTAAATGATTGCTTGACAACCCAAGTAGAGGAATGGAGATAGGCCTAGGTGCGACTCGAGTTTTTGCCCCCTCTGCCCGCCAAACGTCCAAAAGCTCAAGCGCTCGCCCGCTCTCCGCTCTACGGAATTCCCGATCGCACGCATCCGTGTTCCCGATCGACGCTCGCTTCTAGTCGACCTTAGAGACGGCTACTCCGCTCCAATTTACAGCTCTCCCGCTCTCGCGCTGTTAAGCTGGGCTTCTCAGTCGGCAGCGGGCCATTGTCATTTCGACCCCGAATTTCTGCTTTTTCTTTTTGTTCGTGGGATAAATTTTCTACTGAATCTTTTTGCGGAGGATTTCCTGGCCACCCCCCTCCTGAACATGGTCCTTCGAGCCGGATAAGGATATCGTCCTGAAATCCTTTTTTCCCAGCAGCTTTGGTGGTGCCACCGCAAAAAAGATAAGTAAAACCTTTCCTCCCGTCTCTAACTACCGGTCGTCAATAGTTGTCCGAAATTTAAATTTCGGTCAACCTGCGTACGATTTTTGTCAACTCCTAATCCGAGTTTTCCAACACCACGGCAATCGGACAACGTAAAAATCTATATCCAAATCCGATTTTCTCCACATCTATTTGACTGCAATTCGTTTTTTTCTCCCACTTCTTTGGACTCGTTGTTCATTTCTCCGTACATACAATACATACATATGTCCCCATATTCGGCCGTACATCAAAGAACAAAACGGTCTTGACATACATATATACATACATATGTAAATCGGCGCGCATTACTCCGCGAGTTGGTTGGTCATTTATTTAGAGTGCTAATTGACATTCCTTCAGCGGAACAATAAATTAAAAAATAATAATAATCAAACTAGTGAATGTGTGTTTCGAGTCGAGCGCCGCGGCAGTGAAAATTCTACAGTGAACAGTTTGTGTTACCGAATTCGGCCCCCTACCCGAGATTTTCTTCTCATATCTTCGTTTACTGTATGTTTCCGCAGCCTCGATATTTTCTTGAATTATTATGCATGCCCATATATGAATATATTTTCTGCCTCCAATATTTTTGGTACGCCCTCACAACTCCAGTCCAGTTATCGGGTTTCCACTGTACAAAATATATGTGCTGCCTCCAATACAGAAACTAAACCAATATTATAAAAAAAAGTTTATAAAATTCAAAACTATACAAAATAAACAACTAAAAATCAAAAGCCCAATCCTAATCTCACACGGCTGCGAAAGTATTTTTTTTTTTCCTTTCGACTCTTCGACTTAGCACCGCAGAGGCCTGGTTGTTTTTTCCGTTGTTGTTTTCTCTTGGGCCGGTGCTCTTACATAGATAGGGGAGAGTGGGGATAGGTTAACCACGGGGATAGATGAACCACTACACTAAATTTGGAAATCAAATAAACTTTACAAAAAAACCCTTACGTCGAAGTGTTCAGACATAATAATGTTAAAAAAAAGTGGTTCACCTATCCCCACTCTCCCCTATATATTTATGCATTGCGTTGACGACGGCATACCCCAGTGCACTTTTTTCCGTTCTTCACAAAGAATAAGGGTATTTTCGCCATTCCGAGCTAACATTCACACTCCGAGCGCTCCTGACACTGAGAGATTTTCCCCTGTCATGTGCCGAGTCCATCGGGACCAAATCCGGGCCCTGTGGGAAAAGGTGGAGAAGAGCTACGAAAGCTGCTCCGATCTTCTTTCTGTGTCCGCCGACAATACCGCCACCTCGACAGTCCTTGAATTCAAATATAACGACTGTTACTCAGTCTATTCGAGGTGTGTTGTCCAGTGATGTCATTTCCGCTTTTTTCCCGTCAAATTCAGATGTTTTTGAAGTGTGATTGCGGTAAAATTTGTAAAACAGCGGGTAGCGGGAATTCCAGCTTTTTTAGAAAATTGAGATGCTTTTTTCTTAACTTTAATTTTAATACATTTTAAGTGCTGTTTTAAATGTGTTTATTGTTTTTAATTTATATTGCAACAGTATCTATATATACTTATATCGAAGACCATCATCCAAAAGTCCACACCTATATTTGGCGCGTCTTCCATGATGCCGTTACGGCATTATGATGACATAAAACTAATCCCAATGCAAAATGTCGACGACACTGTTAGCTTTTGGAATGAAGTGCTAACTTACAAGGACAGTGGCGGAAACGTTTTAAGGGACAGGCATTAGTTGCGTTAGAAACGCTGACCCTTCCCTGGTCAAATGCCGAGGTTTTTCGGGTTTTCAGCCAAATTAAAGCCTTGTAGTACTAGGCTAGTACTCTGACGACGAAAATCCGCTGTAACATGTGTTATAGCAGAATCGCTGAATATTTTGCTCTGTAACCAGTGTGACCAAAAAAATTAAGGAAAGGCCATGAAACGTCATGAAAATGTACCTTTTATGGCGTTTGGGACTTTTCTTTGGTCACACTGGACAGCTGTTTGTAAACGAATTTGTTAATTAATATGGCATTAAAATGCCCTTTGTGGGTTAAATCCCATATAATGGTCTTCGCCTTGACAGCCCTTATCAATGCCACTTTTTTCCTTGAACTTTCCCTCCATTAGGAGTGTAAGAATAAATAAAATGAATTATTGCAATAGCACCATATCAGCTGTTTACTCTCTTGATCTAGCAACGCCATTCAATTTTCGCAGGTATCATTTTCGTCATCAGAGTACCGGCAAAATCGACGAGGCAAAAAGTTTTTCTTCCTTTTTTCACAGAGTTTTTTTATATGGTGTTTGGCCGCTATCACAATTGTTACAGCGGATTTTCGTCGTCAGATTAGGCCTAAACAAACAAAAAATGGTTTTTAAAAAATCAGCTTTTTTCTTAGTTTTTTCTTTATTGAATTCCGCTTTTTTCAGCTTTTTTTTTTCGTTAATCCAGCTTTTTTTGCTAAAAAAAAAAAATGACATCACTGGTGTTGTCCAGCTTCAGGACATACTTGACAAGGCCGCCTCCCAGGCCACTCAGGCTTCCGTCAGTGTCCAACCACTTCCTTCTACGGGTTGTCGCCTGCCACCAGTAGACACCGAGGTCTTCGCAGGCGACTATATTCGGTGGCCCACTTTCAGGGACCTCTTCACGGCGATTTACATTAATAATTCCAGACTCACGCCAGTGGAGAGGTTGTTTCACCTACTTTCAAAGACGAGTGGCGATGCTCATGCCATCG